CCTATGCTGAACTATGAACCTTATGCTGAATAACCTTCAGTGAAAATGCCACCTGAAATTAGTCTGACATTTGTAGGCTATATTAGTTTAGGCATTCTTGTTCAGTCAGTCGTATTTGCATCAGGTTAGAAATAAATCCGGTGTAAAGGCGAGGAGCACAACATGAAAAGGACACAGGAGACTGTCGTAAGAAAAATTACAGTGGCAGAAGACGATGTCATCTTGTAGCATGTTTACCAAATGACTTTCAATTAAGTCTGCGAAGTTTTGCGTCCTGAATAGGACTGATCGGTGTTCTTGCTCGTGTGTTCTACTCAGAAAGTTTGAATTATGGTGTACGGTGTAGCGCCACTCATACACCTCACTCCTCTAGTGGCTTGAATGAGGTTCGTTTCGGCATATATGTGTCGCATTGCTCAGGAAAGTGGGACAGGTCTTCCCATAAATATCAGCAACCTTTTAGTAGTCTTGTTTAAAGAAATAAAACATTTCTAGTGCCGTTTATAAAAAGACTGATTTTTTATGATCGTTCTCAACTTATTCAAAATAGATTTCATTATAACTGCGATTTGCTTTGGTTTAGATGTTAGAAATATGCTGAAGAATATCGAGCAAGAAAAGATGCAGTACCAGCAAAGGATCGACTTCATCTCAGCCTTCACGGTACTGTTTTTCTTTCTGTCGTTTTCTTTGCCTCATCAGCGACCATTACAGGAAGAAGATGTCGTGAATATCGTAGAGCATATTCCGGAAGAACAGGAAAGTTCAAGTAATTTACAAATCAGGCAATCAGTCAGTCGTTTTCGATAATGGCTTGTACTTTCGGGTCATTGAGGCAGCAGCGTCATACAGTATCTCCTTCGTTCTTCATCGTGTGCCAGCGACTGAGCTTCATCAAATAAAAACCCGAGTCAGGAGCTGTGTCAGTAGAGACATTTGCCCTAGGATATTCTTGATTCTCTTTGTGGTTTTAGGTTAGTCGGTTGTTTGACTTTACTTTCTAAAAGCTTTCGCACAAGGTAACCAAACGATTTAGTTTTAACTTGTCAGTCTGGAGAAGCGGCGACTGTACATCAAGGCTCTCTTAGACATCTGAATCTGAACCATTCCAGATTTTGCATACATACCTGTAACAAGGCAGAGCATTCCACCTACTGCCACCTTAGATGAAGAATATGATTTTGCGCTGACAGACTTCCATTCAATAACTTTTTCAGCCAGGTTGGGTTTTTCCAGAACAGAATACCCACATTAACTTGAGCGTAGGCCATAAACGCGACGCATGAGTGTAATAGCTTCCACTTATCATGGTTCAGAACTCCATACCACCTGGCATTTCGTTGATGAGAGTCCAACTATGTCCAGATGGTATATTGTCTCCTCATCAGCTAACGCTTGCTCTTTTTCTGTGAGTGAGTAAATATTCTAATTTTAGACTGTTCACTCACGTTGTGGGCATTGTTCCCTTCCAACCTTCTCCGTCACGTTATCTGCCTTTGTTTTTAGAAAGAGTAGAAATTTCGCTGCTGAATAAGTATCTTCGATACATGCGTTTCAATCTTCGATGCAATGTTGATCACCCAATGCCGACTTTCCTCACTCCGTCTCTGTTCCTCCACAGCCTTTGCCGCCATTAGTAACTCGAGCGACCACCGAACCGGCATAATATTCGATGGCGGTAATATCACTACTGGCAGTTGGCTGTGCTTTGCGGTAGATTTCGCCAAGTTTCCGTACTCTGCACACGTTTCTCACATTCGCTACTGTAATTTGCAATGGTAATCGAAATCGGTAGAACCCTTTATACCTTTTTAGATAGTTCTCACCAGAAGTCTGGCGAGTTAATATGCCGCTATTAATCCAAAACAGAAGGATTTGTGTTCACATTCCGTATTAATCCCTGAAGAAAACACCTAGATGATATTCCTCTGAACGAAGGATAACAATTCTTCGATGAGACAATCCGGAGGACCGGGTAGTGCTTATTGGCTGATGCTAAGAAATGGGAGAAAGTAATGAAAATAATGCTTTTCGCTTCATATACCTCTGGATGGTCTAGAACTGGAAATTCAATGTAGTTGTCCTGTTCAAACTTGTGCATTCATATCTTCATCGCGTAGACGAATGATATTTATTCATTTTCAGAGTATTCGTTTTTGTAGCGACATGTTTCATATATCTTTGGCTTGATTTTTAGATAAAACGACTGCTTCCGTTAGAACGCCTGCGACTAAGCCTCCTCCAGTTTCAGATAAAAGGTGTTGATTACGCTGTTTAAATTGAGAAGCATAATCTTAAGGTATTTAAAGTCTAAGACCATCCGCAGTATCTGACGAAGAGTTCGAAAGATTGATGAAAAGACTCGATGAACTGGAGGTAGAGGAAGAGAAGGAAGAACAGTTGTGTCTGAAGTATGAACTATGAACTTTCTAAGATGAGTAATATTATGACTCAGATTAATATATTTATGATCAGTAATCTGGCCTTGGAGGAATTCCTTCTTATGAACTCCTGTTTTATATTTTTATGCGATAGAACATAAATTACTGGTTGCTGAAACGTCATTTAGGCTATGCAAGGGATTGTTCTAGCAGCAGAGGTACTCAGTTACCATGGATTTGTTGCCTACATGAATGAATGCCTCTTTTTAGGTAACTGGAAGCAAAGTGGTGCAGTTAGCTGTCAAATTCAGTCTTGGAGGATTAGTGCATTAGCCAAGAATTTTTAAATAATATGATTATTTGACTAAGACAAGTGATTTTTTACGTTGGATTCGTTGTTGCCGGTTGCTTAACCTTTATTAAAGGATTTTTGGAACAGTACGATGCAAAGCTTTATTTTGTGACATGATAAGATGGTACGGGGGTTGTATGGCTGTTCAGCCTCTCGTTCAGCAAACTTGTTTCCTTAGATGTTTTTTTGTACTTCTAAGCCAGCGAAATAACTGTGGAGTGTAATATGCTGTTATCGACTGTACGTTAGGTTGACCGCAGTCGACCTTGTCATAGGAGAACGTGTTTACAGAAAGACACGATGTTTCTAGGAACCTTCAGTCTAAGACTACTTTCTTGCATGTTTGCAGATATTTTATTTGAAGGATCCCATGGCAGTAGTGTGTAACTAGTGATTCATTTTTGAGAAATAAAAACAGAATAAAATACGGAGTGACAGTAAATCGATAGGTTATTCTGCTGGCGAAGCTTGAACTTTATTTATGTTAATTCATTGAAGTACCTGTGATTTACATTTTTAGTGATCAGTCAGAAAGTGTGGTCGAGAGCAGCACCAGCGACGAAGTCAGTGAAAGCGCGTTCTTGAAAAAACGGGTCTCATGGAAAGAGGAACTTTGTGATTACATAGAACACAGTCCTTTAAAAAGTGAGGATGATGCTGAAACAAAAACGGTAAGCAGCGTTTTGTAGCTGTTTTAGTTAATATCCCGATGTGAAGGCAGATTAACATATCTGATATGTTGTTGACAAATTTAAAAATCTATAATAACGGGCTAATCTACCAAATTGAAAACAAAACGAATCGAACGTAAGTCTGCTGATGGAGCTGCCAAGCTGAACGATTGTGGTGAACACCTTCATCCACTTACTGAAGCTATTTTCATAATAACAGTGAAAGCAGGCTTACAATTGAACCCCTGTGTAAGATGAAGGCAACGCACGGAACAGTGTACATGGATGGTCTAGTTCATACAAGGGGTTGGTACCAAAACAGCACCATCAGTGCTATCAGCGACTTTCCTACATTTTAGGTACCTGTATATCATTGACTTCTGCGCTTCACAAATCTGGGTTGGAAATGAGATGTCTCTCATAACGCTATACAGCCATCGTCGCAAAACTGTATCATCGCCGACCGAACAGCTCCAAGCAAAGTTACTATGACGTATGATGAGGATAAGGTGGTAGTGCTATGTTTGTATTACGGTGGTATATCAGAAAATAATAAACAGTGAATTGGTATGGTTTGGTCCTCTGCTGAGAGGCAGTCAAACCATTTTTTGATTGCTGTTGGTGTATAAACCCAGTAATGGTGAAACACTTGGCTCTAAGTACGGTCCTTTACTTTTGCCATATGAAAAGTAAACCTGATTATTGCACGGTAATGTGATCCTAGCACTTATAATATCAGAAAAACGAAACGGAATATCGAAGGAAATATCATGCTTATTGTGAAGAAAGACGTGAAGCTACTAGGAAAGATTTGAAGAAAAACTGAAGATATGGGAAATGAATTCGCACTCCGCAGTTTATCTGCCGAGTTACCTTGTACTGGTATATTTGATAAAATAGTGTTAAATATATCATATTAAAGGCTGTGATATCCCTCGTTTTGTACTATACTATTTAGCCTTCTTCTAATACAGTGATTATATTTATTTTATTTAGGCAGCCAGCGAAGCTGCTGCAGTCTTCAGCTCTCCTCCCATCTCAATTTTGAAAAACTGTACGGAACAGTCACCAATCGATGCAACTGCGAACCTTATCGCGGACGTAGTCGAAACTCCACCTCCGCCGAAGGTACACTTCTTCTCTACCCTTCAAAATATAGGCTTTCATGTACAGTTAACTATGTTTACCAACAAGCCACGTCACGCGACGTTACCACTCTGTTTTTTTTGCTCGTAAGTCACTTATGTACGCTATGACCCCGTGATATTTCAGCACCTGCATATGATAATATTTTATTTACTAGGAGAGGATGATATCTTGCCCGTTTCTGGTAAAAAGCAGGCGACCAGTTTCCTTGTGGCAGTCAGGCCGAGTTTGCTGTAGATACTAAAAACAGCTGGTTTTTCAAGAGCGCATGAATAAATGCTAACTGAAGAGTCTCCCACATGTTGGGGATATGATGGCATGACCATGCAATCGCACTAGTCGGCCTCAATCATACATCAGTAGTGTTCTTAGACAGAAGACTGATTTTCTATGGCTAGACAAACTTTATTGGCTTGCATTTTGAAGAAATTAAACCACAATTTTTTGTCTTCGACCAATCTTTTCCGCGTAGATACACTGAGTACTTCCGAATACAAAAATTTGAAAAATTAACATTAATTACTTCTGAATTCTTTAGTTGTCCGCTGTTTTTCAGAGCGCTGAAGAATAATGTTAATACATTATATTGGCTATTCATGATTTCGAATTGTCTGATCGTTCCGTGATCAGTTCGAAATTTGCTGATTTTTGTGCTTTATTTAAAAGTCGCATGAAGCGGTTTATTTTTTTGCACAACGCAAAAGTTAATCAGATGATTGGCCGTTACCAACGTTTCGATCTGTAACTCGTGGGCCTTGTTCGTGGTAGACTTGTTAATGAAGTTTTCTGGTCATTTGGGTCTTCTGCAGCGTATTATGCGTTTGGTGCCCAAGGGCCGCTTCTCATCTGCTGCAAACTTCCCCAACAAAAGGCGAACTCTATCAACCTCTACCTGAGGTACGGACTGAAACGTTGGTATAGTTTCAATGACCATTTCTTGCGCTCTCTATAAAATAAACAATTGTTATTTTATTTTTTGGTTCAGTTACCAAAGCTTGAATGTTGAATGCTTAAATGAATTCACAGCAGAACGTCATTTTTCGACATTGAACTACGTAGTTATGAACGACACCATAAGGACAGATGTTTTTTGTGCTGGCACTTTTATAACAGTGGAATAGCTTCATCAGAAGTGAACTGTATTATACTTTGAGCATGGTCAGATATTGATGCCTCACTGTATTGAAGTCCTCGAGGCGATCGTCTTTTGGTAAAGCTCCATTCGGTAAACGATGTTTACGAATCATGCCCTGGTGCTGGTCTTCTTAATAAGCACTAATCGAGTTATTTGTGAAGTTAGTGGGTTGGGTAGTTAAGGATGAATATTCATGCGTGCGATACTGCTGATTCAGCCACCTGTAACGCCAAATGTTTTAAGAGAAGACTACTGAGTATAGAAACAAGCTTCAGTGATCACCTTATTGCCTTAGAGTCACATGCTTGTAGCGCGGGAAAGATGCAGGCCTCTTCGTGGGTGCACTGGGGAAAGTTGCATGCATATTCAAATGAATCAGCGACTGCTCTCGGTGGATGCAACGTCCTTGGCCTTTTCGCATATAACGCTGCTCTACAGCAACGATTCACCACAGATGTCCAATTTTTTCAACTTGACGTTTTATAATATTGTCGGTTTTGACTCCCTTGCGGTAGGCGAACTGGCTTGGGTCGATGCTGTTTTCGATTTTCTTTTGAAAGAATAATAGAATTAGGCTCTCTAAGCTTTTTAAGAGGACAGACGTGATATCAAGATATCCGCTGGCCGAAAGGAGTCGACATATGCTGTAGTTGAATCCTTTTTGAAACCGGAGTAACTTATGCCATGCGCCAGTCATTGGGAATCCGTGCATGGCAAAGGCAGCAGATATTTTGCGGCATCTCATTTCTAGCCCCTTTGCGTCGACTCTTCCAGGGATCGTAAATTGCGGTAATGCCCCTATAAGTGCAGCAATCCCTCTCGTATCGTTTATTGCGCAAGAGCACTGCCATCCCTGTACTTCACTCTGTGGGTGTCTTCCCAATGGACGCTGTTGTTTGGCAGACTTCTTATAGCTCATCAGGCCTTCTTCACCTAATGCTTAGGCATCTTATGGCGGATTTCTTCTATTTCAGCAACCTTTCCATTTTTCAGGCTTTTCACCCTTCTGTGATTTCATCTGCAGAAAGATTTGTATCCGTTCCCTGATGTTTTTTAGGCAGGTCTTCCTGCGGCTGCTCACGGTTAAGGAGTCTGTCAAAGCACACTTGTTATCACTGAGAATATGAAGTATTCTTTTTCATTGTAAAAGCGTTAGAGCTACTCTGTCAGGACTCAAAGAAGGCCCTTTCTTCCGTCTCGGAAGCGGCGGATGGTCTGTCACAATGCACTTTTTTGCTGTATGAAAACTCACCAGATTTTTTCCAGGAACTGGCCTTCTCTTCGGCTGCTACATTCGCTGTCGTAGTGCGCGGTTCTTCAAGTTGAAGGCTCTTTGCTTCAAAGCGACCTCCTGAATACAGGTTTCTTCTCGCTGACGGCTAGTTGAAGCTATAATATCCACCAGGAAGTTTGTTTCAGATTAAAGATGACAGACCAGCCCATTTTGAATCGCAACATTGAGCTACATCCCAGAGTAGGCCGCTCTTAAAGTGCTTCCACTCGGTTTCCACATCAGCGGTCATTACAGGGATATGTGCAAACCGTGATGCGATGTTGTTTGCAAATTCACTCCTCGTATCCGCAAAAGATAATGCTTCCCAATTGATCCTCTTTTTGCTTCTGCCTCCAGATGATCGTATGATCCTCCATTTTCTACAGCGTAGCGTGCCAGGTGGTGATCGATTGATAGCTCTGCGCCTCTTAACGCGAACGTCCATTACTGAGCGTCTTAAGTCAGACAATACGATTATCAAACCGATCACCTACTTCTGTGCACCAGCTTTCCTGTACAAGGATGATGCACACCTCGATGGTCAAAGTAGGTCATAGTGGACAGTTTGTTGTTTGCTCGAGGCCGCAACTACCTCATTCTTTTATTTGGGCTTGAGCTCGCTATGGCCGTCATTTGCGATCATGCCTCTCAGTGCATGTCTGCGATGTCTGCTTCCACATGCGCATTGAAATGGTGGATTTGAGTTGATGTAATCCGCAATCACCATTTCCTACAGAGCACTTTCTACTTATTTCAGGTAGGATTCATATTCTCCCTTTAAACTGGTTGCATAGACCGTTAGCAGGGTCAGAGTTTTAGCCTGTGGTAAATTCAGTCAGTTGATTAACACTGTTGTGTTGACGAGTTTCTTTTCAGTGGTTCTGTCATCCAGGTTGGGTTCTATCAGAACACAACGGTTTGAAAGCGTGTCGTGATATCGGCAGCTGAGTAAAGTAGCTTTCGTCTGCAAGGGATCACAAATCCATAGTCTTGGCATTTTGTTGACCAGAGTCCAACTGTATCCATTAGGTTACTTTTTGCCTTTGCTGGTCCTACTCTTTCTCTTTGAGTTTTGAAATATTCGAATATCTGACCTAAACTCTTACTGTCCGTATCATTCCCACGTGATTTTATTTCAGTACAATGATCACATCGCTCGATTCAGAGCAGGTAAAGACTGCGTTTCTGTTTGGTGCTTTCGTTTCCAAGGCGTGCCGCAGGTTTGATCTCAGCATTTTCGCCGTCTTCCTCAGGTGCCCAACAATCCGCGTTACCCTTAGTAACCAGGGTGATGGCAGAGCCAGTGTCACGTTCGATAATTGCAGTACCGTTAGGGCCAGATGGGTAAATTTTATGAGACCGTGCCACGCTCTCAAACCTTTCTTTCTCGTCCGGGATTGGAACCGTCCATGGCTGAGTTGTTATACCTTATTATGATTTTTTGAAATGTTAATATTCTGTCCATTTCAGGCATTTTCCGGTGTGGTTGTGGAACGATCTGGCGAGAGCTCCGTTACGAACCTCCAGCCTATTTCTTCAGTTTCCAAAAGAAAATCCGGATCTCGGTTTTCAAAAACCCGTCTGAAATAGATATATGATTTGTAACATTGAACTGTATGAACACGAACATTTTTTAACATTAAAATGTACTAAATGATTTGACCTGATACTTCTTTGACTTTTCACTGTTGACAGTTACTTTCTATGACTGATGATGCTGCTTTTTTCAATTCGTAACCCTTTGTTGTTGAAAATAGAATGAATTTCGCAAAGCTGATCGAAAGCAGGGCCAAACCGTTGCTTCTTGCTGTTGTTCATCTTCGATCGTTACCAGGGTGCGTGATGATAAACTTTGCCGCTGGTATTGAACAGCCTTTGAATTGAATTGAAAAATCGGGCAGACTTTTCAATTGAGCAGCCTTTAAACCAGCTTTAAGCTGCGTTTTAATGCCGTACAAATTGTGCTTTGACGTGGATTCTATAATTTAGTGTAACAGGTCAGAACAGACTTCCTGAACTGACCTTGTGTTCTTTGAAACGGGCTTGCGTCACCATTGCTCAAAGGTCCAACATTCCACATAACCGTTCTTTCGTTTCATTCACTCATGGCAACTCGTTCTTACGGGAGGTTATGCATCTAGCGCATACCAGTTAATCCCTGGTTCTATATCAACTTCTAGAAGTCGCTGTGAAACACATGCAAGCTAGCGATTTTCAAAACAGAGGAGAAGGACAAGATCCAATTTAGACTTGATATGGATAAATGTCTGCGAAGGTAAATTTGTTACATGATGTGTTTTCGTATAAAATGAAGTCAATGGTCCTGTGACAGAGGCGAAATGTACAGAACAGAAAAATTTTAAGAACATCGACTTGCATTCTTAGCACGCCCACAGGGGATGACAGATTTAGTGAATATTATGAAAGTGAACCTTCGTGTAGCCGAGGCACTGGACCCTTAAACAACGAATCCTGCCTGGTTGCCGTTACATCTAACTTTGCTTTGATATCTCCTTTCGCTACCATCTTGTGTCGAAAAGGTTTCGTGAAGTAAACAAGGTTATGAACCCGTACTTGACTATATTTCTTCGACAAAATGATTTACACTTCGCCATAATCTCTTTCCCCCATACATTTAGTATAAACGCATTCATTGCAGGCCGTGATTTAACTTATAACAGGTTTTTTAAGCTTTTTCCATATAAATAGTGCATTGTAAAAAGCACTGGAATAAATTGGGTAGCACAATCCGATGATGAGTTTTGAAAAATTATGCAAATTTACTGCTTTTATAGTAGATGAAGATCATTCAGAGTGGCGCAGTGCACTTTTTCTACCTACACTTGGTATCCTGTTGGAATAAGTGACGAAACAGCTGCCTTCTTCAGGTTGAAAAGTTCAAGTTGTGATGGTTTGGGCACACTTTGCGAATGCTTCCGTAAAGGAAAGCGAAAACAGCGACTACTTGTTTGACCGACCTGTCGAAAACCCCGGAAAACGCCAAATGTCCGGACGGATCTTGCTCCAAGATTTAGGCCATTTTTTTGTGAAGCTCAGACGTTAGCACAGGGTCGGGAACGTTGGAGATAGATATCTGAAAAGCTAAGCGGTCATCGAAATTGATTGACTGACTGATTACCCGGAGAAAACGAAAGCATCCTTTGTTTTGAGAGACATTGGACAATTAATTTACTGCTTACCGATACCAAAACACCGGCTGATAACGATAATGCACTGAAGTAATGCATGACATCGCTGGGAAGAGCCACTTCCTAAGTGAAATAAGTTAGCCGAAATGAAACGTCGCCCAAATCCTGTTTCGTCGGTTATGTTCGGACGAGTGTAGAAATCATTTGTAGTTCATTATCCTCAGTAATGTTTTCATAACTTACTAACTCTGTAAATAGTTTGATAAAATCTTAAATTTGTTGTGTAGATTGTGAAAGACGGGCTAGAAGACGCCGTCTCCCTTCTCCTCTCTGACACACGCACAGATTCACCCAGCTGTTGCGTAGAATTCCAGCTAGTTTAGCATGGCCTTCCGCGATCTTACTCCGTTGTTCATTTCGCTACTTGATGCTGCTGCCGCGAAATTGGAAGATGCGAAAGAAGAGGGGAGAGGTTTTGTTTTTATGTATAAATACGCCTAAGGGTAGTGGCGTATCGGCAGATGTCCGAACAGGATTTTTTCGGCCCTACCCAGTAATGCGGTTTTGCATCCACACACTGCAGGTGCTCAGATACCATACAGCTGTGCCCTGCTTAAATGGTCCCCTAGGCCGCTAGAAGCAAACGGACGGTGTTATTTCGCCGTTTAAATCTGGTATCAAAAGTGAAAATGTTGAGAGTAAAAGTGTGTAACTCTTTGAGTTGTCAGCTACTGAATGCAATCACGTATTGTCTGATC